TCTGTTTTTTTTTTTTTTTTTTTTTTTGGTACTGGGAATCAAACTCAGGACTTTGTGCTTGCCAAAGTTCTTATCTTCTTTTCTATCCAATACTTGGCATAGTTTTAAAAAACTTTTAATATATACCTATTAAAATATTTCAGAAAAATACAGATGTGAAAAGGGAAAAATTAAAACTACCCTTAATTCTTTTTACAGCATAATTACAATACATAACACATACATATATATTTGTATTTTTGTTGTGTTTTTGAGACAGGGTCTCGCTATTCAGTTCAGGCTGGCCTAGAACTCAAGGTGATCTTTGTGCCTCAGCCTCCCCAGTGCTGGGATTATAGGCATGCGCCACTACACCTGGCAACAACTATATTTTAATTGCCATTAACAGTCTCAGTTTTATCCCTGTGAGCATATAGGAATGTGTGTGTGTGCATGCGTGCGTGCGTTTGTGTGTATGACGCTTATATAGAACAATTTATACGGTTTACCAATGTAACATATTTTCCATAGTAGTACATATTTATAAGCATCACTTCCAACAGCTGCAAGTCATCCAGTAGACCTAACATACATTAATGACTATTTCCTAATTATTTAACATTTTTATGTATTTTTAGTTTTCAGAATACATAAAAATGGCAACACTCTACTCCAAGCTTTCTCTACACACACTGATTATTCCTCAGATTATCTTAGGACACAAACACCGAGTCTAAGGGCAGGAGTGGACTTTTTGTTGTTGTTGTTTTTGGTGCCAGGGATCAAACTCAGGATCTTGTGCTTGCCAGGCATGTGCAGTGCTGCTGAGCTACATCCCCAGCCAGCAGAAGTGTTTTTAAGCTCTTGATAAACACTCATTAGGGACTATTCTTTCCACTCGCTAAGACCTGCCTGGCCCTAGTACCAGGAAGAAACAACAGGCAAACAACAGATAATACATGATGCCTTCTTCCCATGCAGTGACAGTGACAAGGGTCTGAATTGCTTTGGTGCAATATAGAATGCTGTAGTCTGACCAGAGGTGAGAAACTAAAATGAGCAGAACCAAGGGGAGTACAAGGCAGGAGACCTGAACTCGGAGACAGGGATGACCCAGGACCCTGTCATGCCCTCTTCTAGGTTCTTCTGATTCCAAGGTGTCCCATTCTTTGGAAGTTACCTACTCTTATAACTGGAGAACTAATAAAAACTTACTGGTCAGAGTTTTGGGACTTTCCTGTGGTTTTGTGCAAAATCCATTCAGTCTCTTCAAATCAGAGTTTCTGGTAAACCTTAGTGATGAGGAAGCATTGCTTTCATATAACCTAAAAAAATTTCCTAGAAAAGAAAGAAAATGTTTTAAAGAAAGGAAATATAATGTTTTCTCAAGATGATAAATACTTGTTGCTTGGGTGTGGTGGCACATGCTTATAATCCCAGCATTTGAGAGGCTGAGGCAGAAGGATCTTAAGTTTGAGCCCAATGTGGGGCAACTTAGTGACACCCTGTCTGAAAATACAAAGGACTGGGGATGTATGTAGCTCAGTGTGAAGGCCCTAGATTTAATTCCCGGTACCACCCCCCATCAGCTGAATATATAATAAATAGTTGTATATAAGAATGATGTAGGACCCAGGATGTAGCTCAGTAGCACCATGCCTGCCTGGCAAGCACCAGGTCCTGAGTTCAACTGCTGGTATGGGGGATGGGGGGAAGAATTATGCAGTTTTAAAAAATTTAGAATCAAAGCACATGAACAGTATTATAAACCTCTATGTACTCAGCACCCAGTTTCAATCATTGTCAATATTTGGCCAATAAATATTGTTGAAAGCACATTCTAAGCATTACATTCTTTCATAAATACTTCTATATACATCTCAAAAGTCTTTCAAAATCACACCCAGAATACCTGTAATAACTATAAAATACTTTTTTTTTTTTTTTTT